CTAATGATCTCAGTGTCTCTGAAAGATAATTTAGTTCCCCGGACTCAGTGGTACCCAGAAAGCCAGGCAGTGTGTGGATGCTTGAGTGACAGCCCTGAGAGGCAGAGAGGCCCTGGTGGCCTCTCCTGTTCCGCTGTCCTGGAAGCACCAGGTGAATCCAGGCCCTCGTTTTCCTTCCTCCTTTGCATTTCCCCGACACACTGGGGCATCCTTGTGGCAGCCTCAGCTACTGCTTTCTCAAGAGCCTTCTGTGTTCCTGACAGACCTGACCAGATGTTCTCCCCAACCCTCGACTCCGTGGGTCAGGCACAGCCTGTCACTGCTCATTAGATAAACAAATGCACATGTGTGGGGATCCTGATGTACAAGATCCCGCTGTCCCCAAGGTTCCTCTTCTAGGGTCTCCCCAGTGAAAAAGAACCTCTCGGGCCTCGAGGAAATACTTGAAGAAACATTTCCTCTCTTCCTTCTCGGTGCACCCAATACCTTTTTCCATTCTTTGTGTACACTGGTGTGTACATATGTGCATGATTTTGCATGTTTGTGCACATGTGGCAACCCAAAGTTGATGCCTGGAACTATCCTCCACTACTCTTCCACCTTATTCACTGAGGCAGGGTCTCTCAGTTGTGGTGGTATTGTGTTCCCCAAAATATTGTGCACCCCAATAAACTTATCTGGGGTCAGAGAACAGAACAGCTACTAGATACAGAGGCTAGAAAATGGTGGCACACACTCCTTTAATCCTAGCATTCCAGAGGCAGAAATCTATCTGGATCTCTGTGAGTTTAAGGCCACATTGGAAACAGCCAGGCAGGTGTTTCACCAGGCAGGTGACTCACGCCTTTAATCCCAGAGAGTGATGGTAGAAAGCAGAAAGGTATATAAGGTGTGAAGACCAGAATCTAGAATCTAGCTTTTGGCTGGTTAAGCATTCAGGCTTTGGAGCAGCAGTTCAGCTGAGATCCATTTGGATGAGGACTCAGAGGCTTCCAGTCTGAGGAAACAGGATCAGCAGAGGAACTGGCAAGGTGAGGTATCTGTGGCTTGTTCTGCTTCTCTGATCTTCCAGCATTCATCCTAATACCTGACTTCAGGTTTGTTTTTATTAATACGACCTGTTAAGATTCGTGCTATACTCAGTCGAACCCAGAGCTCACTGCTATGGAGAGTCACAGTAGTCCTGCTTGCTCTGTAAATCCATTTCCAACTTCAGGGCTGGAGTGACAGGGGAGCCCCCAAGCCTACTTGGCACTTTACACGAGTTTCTGGGGACCCCAGCTCTGGCCTTCATGCTTGTGTGACAGGTGCTATGAGCCCTCTTTCAAGCTTGGGCCCCTTGCTTCTCCTAGCCCATCTCCCCCCATTTATTTTCTGTTTCATCTTCTGGTTTTGCTCTGTCCTATCCCAACCACAGAAACCAGAACAGAATCTGTACTTGTGATCAAACGCTTTGAAGATAGCAAGACCTCTGGCCATTCTCTCAGGATCCTCCGGTGCTGTGAAGAGGCTGGCATCATCCTGAGGTCACCCTGCAAGTGACCCTCAGAGTGCCTGCTTGGGCCTTCCCATCTCCAATGAAAACTAGAACTTGGGTTCCCCAAGTCATCCGAACCCTGTAGAGGATTAGGAAAGAAAAGGCAGGAGAGGGCTAATTGCATCCCAAGCCCACCATGCAAATCTGTGCGCTTGGCCAAACCGAGTCTTTAAGAAGAAAGATGAGACTTTTCACAGCCAGAGGGACCCTTCCAACCCTGGATTCCAAGCGGCCCCTGCAGCATATCTCCACCTCACCTGTGGGCCATGCTGATGTGCTTGGCGGTCACTGAAGACTGTCTCCAGCTCATTAGGTGAGAAAGTATGGAATCCTGTGTCTTTAAGAACTGAAACCATCCAGAAACAGGATTTGAAGCCCCGTAGGAGCCTGGAGACTTCCTTTTTGCTGTTCAAGTTTCATCTCTGGTTATCAGGAACTGAGTGAGGTGGGGGGGGGGGGCAGTGAGTTGCAGCCACATAGCTCTGCGAAGACTCTGCACTCTGGAGATGAATACATTCTTCTTTCTTTTTGAATGTACCTCACTGTGGTGAAAAGAACGTTTGAGAAAGTCCCTGGTTGACTCTGTGCATCCTATAGATTCACTGGAAGAGGCAAGCACCAGGGCTAACTCCCAGATGCTGGCCAGTTCCAGGATGCCCTCAGACTGACCTTGTTCCACACACCCCTGACTGCATGGGTGGAGCCCAGTATGGATCTAGTGAGGGTCAGCTCCATGGGACCTCACAGCCATGGGACCCTCTGTGGGAAGGAACCACGGGCTCCCTGGTCCAGCTCACTCAGCACGCACTCTGTTCGCAAGACTTAGGACCCAGGACCTTTGACTGGGTGTTTTCACCACGCCAGTTACCCATGCTCTGCATGTGAACTGGCTGATGTCACTTGCCCGAGATCCGCACTGACCAGATCCACTTTTCACACTTTTCTACCCACACTTCCAAAGACTGGCTTTGTGGGAGGCCGCAGTGTGAGACTGCAGGTGGAGTCTGGGCATTTTTTTGTTCTTGCATTTCTGTCCCAAGCCATTGGTGTGACCACGGCTTAGTTCTTTCAGGACCATGAGCTTTTCCTGGAGCACAGATGGGCTCCCACTGACTTCGGCGCATCCTCTCCCTCGGCTCCTTCAGGCCTATGGCTTCCATATGGTAACAGCTCCTCACGGTTGCTGGCTCCTCCACAGCCCTCCATTTATTAGCATTTCTAGACTGCACATGCTCATTGACAACTCTTGATTTTGACCTTCATCATGTCTAACGAGGGATACCTTCTTCTCTGCCCTTCACTGTACCTCCATCCACCTTTAGAACCGTCTGCTTAAAAGCCCAATCAGATTGTCACTTTCTCCGGTCCCTGGACAGTTTCAGTTCTTCAAACACAGGTTTCTATATTTTCTCAGCCAGTGAGCTGAAGGCAGAGTTTTCAGTGACCACCAACCACAGCTGGACGGCCTGGGGATGAGATAGAGTCACACTGCAGAGTCTGTCTGAAATCCGGGTTGGAAAGGAGCTCCTCCAGCTGTGGAGTGCCTCATCTCAGTGTTGAAGACGTTTTAAAGGCAGGGGAGGTGGTGCACACCTTTAATCCCAGCACTTGGGAGCCAGGGCAAGGTCAGCCTGGCCTACACAGCGAGTTCCAGGACAGCAAGAGCTACACAGTGAGACCCTGTCTCAAAAAATAAAACAAAAATAAATAAAACAAAAATATGTATTTTTAAAGTTACGCGTATGAGTGTTTTGCGTGCATGCATGTGAGTATTCCATGGTTTTCATGGAAGTCAGAGACGGCATCAGGTCTCCTGAAAGTGAAGTTACAGACAGCTGTGAGCTGCCAAGCAGGTGCTGGGAACTGAACCCGGGTCCTCTGCCAGAGCAGCCAATGCTCTTAACCACTGAGCCGTCTCTCCAGCCCCCTCATCTTTCTTCTCCTTCATGACTCCAGTCATAAAAGCCAAATTGCCTGGCCAAGCAAAGCTCTTTTGCTCTGGTTTGATTCTAACTTCTCTTCCAACCACCTCTCTGGAAAATAGAGAGAAAGCAGACGGTAGGAGACAAGAGGGGTGGATGCAAGCAGATGGAGACTCTGAGCCCAGAGGCCAGGAAAGGAGCCTGCCACTCAGAAATGCCCACCTAACTCAGGACCCATGAAGCCCACAAGAGTCTCATGAGACCGTATCCCTGACAGTTCCATAAGAACAGTCCTCAGTTGACTGAGAAAGATTCTAGTCAGTGGTAGACAATATGTGAACACGTGTGTGCAGATCATATGTGTGTGGAAGCCGGCGGAGGGTGTTGTGTGCCCTGCTCTATCACTATCCCACTCTCGTGACAAGATCTTTCATTGAAACCAGAGCTAAGCTGATGGCCAGCAAGACCTGGTGACCCTCGTCCCCATACCCCACAGTGCTGGGGTCACAGGCATGTGTAGTGACATGCGTTTAAGATTTATTATGTATGAGTGCCTGCATGTATGTGTCACACATGTGACTGCAGAGGCTAGAAGAGGTTGTCCGTCCAATCCCTTAGAACTGGAGTTACAGGTGGTTGTAAGCCACATGATATGGGTCTGGGAACCAAAGCCAGGTCCTCTGTAAGAGCAGTAAATGCTCTTAACGGCTGAGCCATCTGTCTAGTCCAACACCTTGTTTTTTAAAAATCTCTATTACATTTATTCTTTTGCTTGCTTGTGTGTTTTTTGGCAGGGGCATGCATTTGTGCCACGGTGTGCAAGTGGAATCAGAGGACAATTTGCAGGAGCTGATTCTCTCTTCTCATCATGTAGGTCCCGGGATTGAACACAGCAGGCTTTTTCCCTGGGTGCTGAGATCTGAACTCGGGTCCTCACGCTGGAGCAGCAAACACTCTTACTGTTGAGCCGTTTCCCCAGGCCTCAGTCCTTGGCAGTTTGAATTTCTGAGTAAGTGAATCACTTGCACACCATATCTTTCCTTCTCTCTCTCCCTCAGTGCGTTCTCATCTACACATCTAGGAAAGGGAGCAAGTCCATTTGCTCGTACACCAGCTCCCTCCTAGAGTGCCCAAAGGCAGACTTTGGCCTCCTCACTAAGCTGCCATGTTCTTCACTAGACTAATGACAATTCCCCCATTCATAAACCAAGCCCAGAATCGTGCCTTCCAAGGCCACACATGGACATACCCCAGGATGGACGTGATTTCTGAACAGGGTTGAGCAGCTGGTCTCTCAGCCCTGCAAGGGTACCTGGTACCTGCTTCTGGCCACTGCTCCTGGACCTGGGAAGGGAGCAGGCACAGGCAGGTTAGTGGGGGAGGGAAGAGACGGCTTTGAAAGCTGTAAATAGCGTTTCAGTTTCCTCTGGGTCACCGGGGAGGTTGGAACAAGAGGTCTCCCTGCCTGCATCTGGGTAGGAGAGAATACAAATGACCCTGGCAGCCGGCAGCACGGCACTGCTCCGTTTGCAGGAGGAGGTGCTTGGCCTGGTGATGGACTCTCTGGGAGACTTTTCTCTGTGGCCTCTGGGTAGGCCCTGCTGTGTGCCAGTGTAGCCGGGGGAAGTTAGGAGGCGGAGTATTTGGTTTCCCCCGTGGCTGTGATTCAACATTTTACAAGCAACTCAGGGAGGGAAGGGTTCCTTTAGCTGACAGCTACCGTCAAGGCAGAGACTGAAGGCAGTAGCTTGAGGTGGAAAGCATGGAGGAGCTGCTGGCTGGTTCACTCCCAGGCTCACGCTCTGCTGGTGTCTCAGCCCACGTCCACCTGCTCAGGCTGGGCCCTTCCCCGTCATTTTACAACCAAGACAACCCTCCAGAGGTGGCCATAGGCCACACTGACCCAGGCAATCCCTCACTTGAGACCCTCTCTGATGACTCTAGGCTGTGACAAGTTGACCTCTGAAGTTCACCAGGACCAACAGGGACTTTCTTTTTGACTGGTTCCTCATTTCTACCTCTTCAGTGAAGAGACCAGTCACTAATGCACTCCAAGCTGTGAAGTCAGAATGCGTACCTAGGGTCCAGCTTACAAAGAATTCCGTGTGAAGCCTTTGTTATTGGAGGAGAGAGGTAGGAAGTTAGCTGGGAAACAGACATCCCTGGCTGAGGGAAGACCCTGAGACCACTTGCTGAGAAATGGGCCAGGCCAGACAGAAGCAAAGGTGAATTAGTAGCCGGGCCCTGGGGGCCTCAGCTTCCTCCTGGCACAGTGAGGCCAAGAGCTTCCTTGCTCAGGCAGTTAGGGTTAAATAAGACAATCCCCACAGTGCCTGTCTCCAGATGATCATCGTTGTGAAGAGCTGAACTTTATACCAACCAGATCCAGATTTCACTTCCTGGCTACACTCTCCGACGTGAGTTTTCTTTGGGATCTTCCTTATGTGAGTGGTTGGACTGAGCACGGGGGTGGGGTGGGGGCACTGGAGGCCTCCCGATAGAAGAAACCAGGATGTGGCTATGTATGCGAGTGTTCCTAAAATCCCTTCTTCCTCCTAAGGTCACGACAATAACTTGAGATGCGACTCCACCAAGTTCACGGTGGAACATTAAGGCTTCCTTACAGAGCAGTGGTGAGGGGTTATGGGCAGATATGTAGACGAACTCAAAGCAGCCACACTGGAAAGTCTGTACCCGACCGAGGCCATCCCCACGGCTGTACAAATGGAACTCCCCTCCACCATTCTTCCCCACTCTGCTCCGTCCCCCAAGACCGCTGCAGTCAGGGCAGTCGACTGGGTGGCTGAGTGGGTGGCAGGGGGTGGGGGTGGGGCTGAATACTCAGGTGAGGGTCCCATGACCTGCCACCCCTCCTCCTATGAGGGAAGGCAGTCAAGAAGCCGAGCTGTGATGATCTTTTTCAGGCGGCTTAGCAGAACTCCTGAAGATGGTGGTGGTCCGCCTGGAAGGACATTCCTGCACAACACGGGGGCTCTGGCTTCGGGAACAGGGAAGTTCCCAGCCTTGGCCAGAAGCTGTCACGTGTTGGCAACTGGGAGGCTGCATTGGAGGGCAGACGGAGCACGGAGCCAAACTGCACTCAAATCTCAGCTCCATATACCTTGAACAAGTGGCTTAATTTCTCTATGCTTCCCTGTCTTGATCTGTTAAATTCAAGTACTAAGCCAGGCATGGTAGTGCAGATCTTTAATGCCAGCCCTCGGGAGGCAGAGCTGGAGTTCCTGTGAGTTCCAGGACAGCCAGGGATACACAGAGAGATCCTATCTCCAAAAAACTATTAAAAAAATTCAATATTAGCCTTATACAGTTGTCGTGATGGGTGTCTTAGTCACTGTTCCATTGCCGTGAAGAGACACCATGACCAAGGCAACTCATAAAAGAAAGTATTTGGGGGCTGGATCACAGTTTCAGAGGGTCAGTTCATCATGATTATGGTGGGAACCTGGTGACGCAAATGAGGCTGGAGCCTTAGCTGAGCTACATCCTGACCAACAGGCCGAGAGAGACAAAGGGCCTGGCACAGGCTTTTGAAACCTCAACGCCCACCCCCAATGATGCACCTCCTCCAACAAGGCCACACCTCCTAATCCTTCTCAAATAGTGCCACACCCCGGTGACTGAACATCCAAATATGTGAGCCTATGGGGGCTATTCTTATTTACACACCACAGTGGTAAAAGGAGTTTATGTGTAAAGAACTGGAAAGGAGATGGCTCAGTGGGTAAAAACTTGCCTAGCATGCACAAAGTGCATGGTTCAACCCCCAGCTCTGCATAAACAGGTGTGGTGGCACATGCCTGTAATCCTAGCACTCAGGAGGCAGACACACTCACTCTCTCTCTCTCTCTCTCTCTCTCTCTCTCTCTGTCTCTCTCTTTCTCTCTCTCTCACACACACACAAATAAAAAAATACAGAAGACCCAGTCTCAAATATACATGTGTATAAGTGCATGCTTACATACACAGACACACATCTGCACACACACCACACATGCACATGTGTGCACACACATGCACGCATGTGCATATTACGCATACACACATATACACATACATGCACATATGTATTACACACATACACATGCAACACACATGCATGCATGCACAACACACATGTGTTTGTGAGGGTCAGCATATTTAGACAACATGGCACTGATATAGACATCCAGAATAAATCATCTAAACCATAGCTGACACTGGACATATGGGGGGCTGTGAGTCAGCACCAAATGACTGACACCAGTTGTCTGGGGACCCCAAAAGTAAACAATGATGTAATCTGTAATGTAACTACTTTTTGGCAAAATGCTACTTTTATGTGACTCTATACAAATATGGCTTTGAGGTTAGGAGCCTCTGCCTGAGGCAGCCTGCAGAGCTCTGTGCCTACCTCCACGGGGCCTGTGTAGTATGTGTGCTTGTGCCTGCCTGGATGGTCTGGATGTGCTGGCTTGATCTGGGTCCCTGCCATCTGCTGTCTGTCTGATGACCTCCCTGCTGGCAAATGAAGTATTATCTTCGAAATCTGCTGTGGGATGTCTTTCTGTACGCTGTGAATATGTCTTATTACCATTGGTTAATAAAGAAGCTGCTTTGGCCTATAGCAAGGCAGGCTATAGCCAGGCGGGAAATCCAAGCAGAGATATAGGGAGAAGAGGGCGGAGTCAAGGAGAAGCAGCAAGTCGCCCAAGAAGCAAGATGTGAAAGTGCCGGTAAGCCACCAGCCACGTGTGACACACAGATTATTAGAAATGGTTAATTTAAGATGTAAAAGCTATTAATAAGCCTGAGCCATAGACTAAACAGCTTGTAATTAATATGAATCCTCAGTGATTATTTTATAAGCTGCCTCAGGATTGGGCAGGACAGAGAAAAGCGTCTGTCTACAGAAATCCCCTCAATCCTCAGCCTCCCCTGACCCTCCTCCTTCCTGGCATCAGAGCATGGACCTAACCAGTGCCCAGCACAGAGTTCACATGATATGCATTAGCCTTTCTAGAGAGCAGAGATCCTTGAATGTGAAATTTTGTTATTTGTCATCTATCATCTATCTATCTATCTATCTATCTATCTATCTATCTATCTATCTATCTATATCTATATATCTATCATCTATCACCTATCTATCATCTATCTATCTATCTATCTGTCTGTCTGTCTATCTATCTATCATCTATCTACCTATCATCTATCTATCTATCTATCATCTATCTACCTATCACCTATCTATCTATCTATCTATCTATCTATCTATCTATCTATCTATCTATCTATCAATCTATCATCTATCTATCATCGATCTATCCACACCACACACACATACACACACATACGTAATCTTTTGCAGTGTTCAGGGCCCTAACAATATCAAATATTCTAGTGCTAGGTTACACTGATCTTTTTTGGTAGGGGTGGACACATTACTCTTGCAATTGCTGTGAGCAAAATACCTGAGAGGAAACCTAAAAGGAAGAAAGATGTATTTGACTCGGTTTGAAAGGTTTGGTTCACGGTGGCTTGACCCAAGGCGCTCAGGCAGGAGGACTTCACAGCAGCGAGGGCTTGGGCAAAGAAAAGATCACACCGTGTAGGAAAAGTTCACACCGCTCATTGCTTTGAGGGAGCATTTCGATTCTTTAGCCCTAGTTGGTGATGCCACTTGGGGAGGCTTAGGAAGTATGTATGACCTTGCTGTGGGAAGTGTGTCTCTGAAGGTGGGCTGTGACAGCTCAAAGTCTACCGCCATCACCACTCACTCTCTTGGGTTTGCAGTTTGAGATGGGAGCTCTCAGGCTGTGCTGCCACGGTCTCTGCCTGGTGACGGTACAGTAAGGACTCACCCCTGCCCGGTGCTGCCCTGCTGTGAAGGTACAGTAAGGATCACCCCTGCCTGCTGCTGCCCTGCTGTGACGGTACAGTGAGGACTCATCCCTGCCTGCTCCTGTCCTGCCGTGACGGTACAGTAAGGACTCATCCCTGCCTGCTGCTGTCCTGCCATGACTGTACAGTAAGGACTCATCCCTGCCTG